CTATTATAACCTACTATCTCTTGATCTTCCAAATTACATTTGGTTCTTAACCTTCCTATTACCTTATTTAATAATAAAATCCACTACTAATGACATTAAAGTTTATTCAACAAAACTCCTCTGTAAACTTAAATATTTCTTCTATCCATCATGCCTATCATTTTCTTGCCTCTGCCGAAAATTTCCTTCGATAATGGTTTTGTGAAGATATTTGTTGCTTGATCCTTGCTTGCTACATGCTTCAATTCGACACTTCCTTTCTTCACATGTTCTCGAATAAAGTGGAAGCGAACGTCAATGTGTTTGCTTCTTTCGTGGGTTCACTGGATTCTTTGCCAACTCGATTGCTAATTTGTTGTCAACTTGTATTACAGTTGTACCTTCCTGTTTTAGCTCCATTTTACTTATTAATCTTCTAAGCCATACTGCATGACAAACGCACCAAGATGCTACCACATATTCAGCTTCACACGTCGAAAGTGTTACTATAGGTTGCTTTTTAGAAAGTCAAGTAAATGCAGTGTTTCCCATGAATAACACATATCCAAAAGTTCTTTTTCGATCGTCTATATCTCCGCACCAGTCACTGTCAGAGTAACCAGCTAACTTGTAGTCTTTTGTTCTTGAATAAAATATTCCAAGTGACAGTGTTCCTTAGATGTACCTTAGGATTCGTTTCAATTTCTTCCAATGTGTATGTACTGGCTCCTCCATGAACCGACTTACAATGCCAACACTTAATGAAATGTGTGACCTTGTGCATGTGATATAGCGAAGACTACCTACCAAACTTCGATATTTGCTTACTTCGACACGTTCTCCTCTATCAAATTTTGACAGTTTTACATCTGGTTCCATTGGCGTCGAAGTTGGATTGCAGTTTTTCATCTTATATTTTTCCAAGATTTCTTTTGCATATTTTTCTTGTGAGATAAAGATTCCAGTTTCTTCTTGTCGAACATCCAGACCAAGAAAGAATATTATCAGACCTAAGTTTGTCATTTCGAATTCGCGTGTCATGGTGCTCTTGAATTCTTCTATCATCTGAACATCATTGCCTAGAAAATAAGGTCATCAATATAGAGAGCAACAAGTAATATATTACTTCCATTTTTCTTCACATAGAGGGCATGTTCATAAGGACATTGCTCGAATCCATTCTCTTTGAAATATGTGCCGATGTGTGTGTTCCATGCTCGTGGTGCTTGCTTCAACCCATATAGCGCTTTCTTCAATTTCAATACCTTCTTCTCTTCTCCAATCTTCATATATACAAGTGGTTGTTCGACATAGATTTCTTCTTCGATCACACCATTCAGAAAAGCTGTCTTGACATCCATTTGAAATATTGGCCATTTGAATTGAGCAGCTTGAGAAATGAGCAATCGAATTTTCTCCATTCTTGCAACAGGTGCAAACACTTCGTCATAATCAATTCCTGATTTCTGTTTGTATCCCTTTGCAACAAGTCGCACTTTGAATCGTTCGATTTCTCCTTGAGCGTTCATATTTTTCTTGAATACCCACTTTACACCAATGGGTTGACTACCTTTTAGCAATTCGACTAGCTCCCAAATGTTGTTGCGGTTTATTGCTCTAATCTCTTTGTCCATGGCACTTTTCCACTTATTGTCTCGTAACGCTTCTTCGACACTGATATTTTCAGCATCTGCGAGAAGGCACACAAGGTGTACCTCATTTGTCGAATCATATAAATCTTGCAAACTTCACATTCTGGGTTGTAGAGGTTCATCTTCATCTTCAGTATCTTCATGTTCTGCCGAGATACTTGTTGGTACAGCTATAGATGATTCTTCGACTGCATTAATAACTTATGTTGAATTTTTCCAGTCCCACTTGCTTGCTTCGTTTATTCGAACGTCTCTACTCATGATCACTTTCTTGCTTATGGGGTCGAATAGCTTGTACCCTTTTGTCTTCTCTTTATATCCAATGAATATATACTTTTGACTTTTGTTTTCAAGTTTTGTTCTTCGTTGATCCGATACATGTGCATAAGATACACTACCAAATACTTTGAGATGAGAAACTGTTGGCTTCTGTCCGCTCCATGCTTCTTGTGGTGCTTTATCTTCTAACTTCGAACGTGGACATCTATTCTGAACATAAACAAAACATTGTACAACTTCTGCCTAGAATTCTTTCGACATGTTCTTGCTTTTAAGCATTGATCGAATCATGTCAAGAATAGTTCGATTCTTTCTTTCAGGCACACCATTTTGTTGAGGTGAATATGGTGCATTTAGGAATCTCCTTATGCCCTGCTCTTCAAAATACTTCATAAAGGTCGTCGAAGTGCACTCACCACCTCTGCCAGATCGAACTGCTTTGATATGTCTGTCTGTTGCCTTCTCCACCATTACTTTGAACTTTTTGAACACCTCTAATGCTTCAGACTTTTCTTTCAGAAATAAACCCAGATCTTTCGTGAGAAATCATCGATAAAGGAAATGAAGTACCTTTTTCCACCAAAGGATTATGGAGTGATTGGCCCATATATGTCAATATGAATCAATTCGAGAATATGTTTAGCTTGATATTCTGCCTTCTTTTGAAATGAGGTTCTTGTTTGTTTGCTGAGCACACATTCTTCACAAAACTTTCCTTCATAATCCATGTCTGGTAGTCCATGTACCATGTTCCTTTTTGCCAACATTCTCAAACCATCATGATGTAGATGACCAAAGCGCATATGCCACAATGACGCTTTGTCTTTCATTTTGACTTGCAGACATTTCTCTCAAACGCTCCTCAGGTTCAGTTTGTACATTCGATTTCTTTCCATTTCGACACGGGCGATCAGATGTCCTACTTTATCCTTCAAATGCAGTATTCGGTCTTTCATAAGTATCGAAAAGCCTTTTTCTGTAAGTTGTCCCAAACTTAAGGTGTTGGTCTTGAGATCTGGCACATAGTAAACATCTTCGATTGATCCAATCAAGTCATCCTTCTGCAAGTAACTGATTGTGCCCTTTCCTTCGACCTTCACTTTCGATGCATCTCCGAAAGACAAATTACCATCTTCAATTTTCTTCATTTCTTTAAACATGTGTTTGTAACCACACATGTGATTACTTGCTCCTGAGTCAAGATACCAAACATTGTCATTATTGGTGTTGATTTTGTTTTGAGCCATCAGGAGAAAGCCTTCATCCGCTTCAGGTTCCAAGGCTAGATTGGTTGTTTCTTCAATCTTCTTTTCGATTCGACAATCTTTTGCAAGATGTCCCACTTTATCACAGTTGTAACATTTTAGGAGTTGCAATCCTTCGCGTAATGACCATACTTCCCACATTTGTAGCATTCAAAGTTGGAGTGGTTCGATCGACCACCTCTTTGACCACGTCCTCTGTCACGCCAGTTTTGTTGGTTCGATTGTCCTCTTTCGAAGTTGTTGCTTTGACCACTGTCACGACCTCCAAGTCCATGTCCTCTTCCTCGAAAGTTTTGAGAAAAGAGTACCTTTTTGTCTTTGTTTGACTCCTTGGTTTGACTTGCTTCTTCGACTGCTTCTTCCTTCTTTTTCATCTTTAGTTGTTCATGTGCTTCGAGAGAACCAGTGAGCTCTTTGACTGAGAGTGTTGAAAGATCCTTCGGTTCTTCTATTGCACACATAATATTCTCAAATTTTTCTGCTAAAGATCTAAAGATATTTTCAATAACTCGTGCATCAGTTATTGTTTCGCCATTTCTGGTGAGTTGGTTCACCATCTTTTGTACACGTGTGGTGTAGTCAGATACAGTTTATGTCTCCTTCATCTGTATCCTCTCCAATTCGCCATGAAGAGTTTAGAGTCGGACTTGCTTCACTCGATCTACTCCTTTGAACATTTTTTCTAACGTGTCCCATGCTTCTTTTGACGTAGTCTAACCAGCAATATTTTCAAAGCCTGATTCGTCAACAGCCCTGAACAACATGTATAATACCATTTTATCCTTCGATCGCGTCTCTTTCAACGCCTTATTTTGAGTTTCCAAGTATCCCCCAATATTTGTTGGTTCTTCAAACCCATCTCTGGTCACATCCCATGTGTCTAGAGATCCAAGGAGAGCTTTCATTTGGATACTTCAGTTTTCGTAATTTGACTTCGTTAGCTGTGGCAACGACATTTGATTCATCATGTTTTCCATTAGCTCTGATGCCAATTTGTTAAACAAGGAGCAGACTTTGATTGTCTTTTTGTTAGAGTAAGAAGAAAAATTGTATAACTTGTTGTTAAATAAAATACAATCTTGGTCTTTATATAGACCCAAAGACTTCTACTATTCTAAGAAAGTAACTGCTATTAATAAAAAACTATTATAACCTATCATCTCTTGATCTTCCAAATTACATTTGGTTCTTAACCTTCCTACTACCTTATTTAATAAGAAAACCCACTACTAATGACATTAAAGTTTATTCAACAATTTCTTCCATTCGTTTTTACTTTTCCTTTTCCTTTTAGCAATAATCTAATTCCCTACAAACGAATGCAAAATGAGAATTTCCCAAATTAGATAACATTCTTAAAAAAACAAAACCAAATTGCCCCAAATGTATTAAAAATAATGTTTTCTAAAAGAGTTTGTTATAAGTTGGAAAGACCAAGTCTCGTTCACCATCAGTCGGGAAGAGCTTTAGTTTAAAGAAATATGAATATGGAACATGTTAACTTTTTAAGAAATAAATAATACTCAACTGAAGTTAATACTCAACATGTTAACTTTGTAACAAATAAACAATACTTAACTTTCCAACCATGTCATAATAAACCTGCAGCATTAACACAAAACCAGCTCATGCATTTATCAGAATATAAACATCATTACACAAGCATGCTACAAAATGAAAGAGACCACATACTAGACTGGCTGTAGTAGTTAATACGTATACACCCAACATATTTAATACTGACCACAAAAGTTTTGAGAACCAGCGCCACCTTCTTGTCAACAATATAAATCTCCAAAATTCCACAACCAGAACAAAAAGATAACTACAAATCAACTTCTTCAGCCACCCCTGCTGCAAATTCACTGGCAACGGAATTAGTGGGAGAAGAATCAGAAGTTGAGGATGAAGTTGTTCTTTGCCCATAAATCTCTTCGACAAGAGATGTATCTCCTTCAACAAAGAAAAGAGAATATATGTTTGACTTTGGTAGCGCGTCGGGTGCTTCTGTCTCCAACAAAATCCTATTATAAGAGACCTAAATAGAATAGAATACAACATATATTTATCAGCAAAAAAAGACAAGACAAAAGCAATTTAGTAGAAATAAATTAAAATTTGTTTTATATTTAAATGACAAAATTGTTTGAGCATATCCAATTGATATTGCCATTATTGTTGTATTAACGAAAATCCTAAAATGAAAAATTCATGTACAAAGTATGGACAAAATATATTTACATGTTCCGCAACAACCTGTGTTAATGTTAGACATTAGTTTTATAATGTCTGAATCTCACCGGTTCCATCTTCGCCAAATGAAGTTGTAACTTTCCCTATTCAGAATCACTTAGAAATAAATAGTAATAAAGAAGAAAAACTGTGAGCAAAATTTAATTGAAAATGGATTCAAAACCTCTCTCTGGCGTTCGGCCTCCATGAATCAATCAAGCTTGAGAGTATCATCGGTCTCCGTGAAGCTCTGTGTCATACCCCAAATTTTCCCTACCCTTATTTAGGTTTCTTTTTAAATAAATCATGTTATTTAGTTTTTATTTCTATGGGGGTGCAAAATTATGGAAGAGAGGTGTGGTTGACCCAATATGGACCATTAATATCTGATGTCCCATTAGATTTCTAATGTCCCATTAGATTTCTAAAAGTCCATTTCAAAGTTAAGGGAGGTGTATTGTTTCAAGGGAGGTGTGAACAAATTTTTCTTTTCATAAGGCCCATTTGATTTTCTTTTGATAAAACAATCTGTTTTTTTGTTGTTTAAAGCCCAATGAACTAAAACAATTTGGCTCATTAGAATTTTCATACTAGCCCACTAATTTGTTAGAGTTTTTTTAATAAGTTAGGGGGTGTGTGATTTTCAAAAAGGGCCCAAATAGGTTAATACAGTAGCCCATTTCAATTCTGGAGTTTGTTTTTAAAAAAATGTTTTGTTAATAACATTATTATTATTGATATTATTTTATTATAATAATAATTTTTATAATATTATTAAAACATTAGTTAAATTTTGATTTCTGTTTTTTGATTAAAAGAGGAGTGTTCTTCGCGACCTAAGTCCAGTTAATTAAGGGTAGAAACAATTTTTGTTGTACAAATAGAAGCGAATCGCGAGCCCAGCCCAATCCAAATTAGAAAATGTTATGGCCCAAAACACAAACAATCACAATGCAAATTTGAAAAGGGTAAACGCGCAAATTCAAAGAAAGGAGAAACGTTTGCTTCAATAGGCAACCAGTGTCCAGATTCTCAGTCAACAAGCAAACATATCATTCAAATTAGAATCAAACATTTACAACATAATCAACACTAAAAACAGAAACATTTTGGATTGAATACACTAATTTATAGACACATTCACTATTTTCCTAAACTTATGAGACAAACATAATCAAACAATTTAAGTTGATTCCTAATTCAAAAACCCTAAATTAATTTTAGGAGTTAAATCTACAGACAACACATCAAAGCTTCCTAATTTTCTAAAATCTGAAATCGCTATAAAACCTAAGTCAAACTACAGAAAAAGGATAGAGAAAATTGGAGGAGACGAAAAAACTAATTACAGAGAAAGATCGGGGAGAAGCAAAAGAACAAAGGGAGGCCGTTTTCATCACCGCCTTCGCGTTCACTGCCCCGGACTAGGGTTTCAATATCTGAAACCCTAGACTCTTCAAACTGCCACCGTAACTCTTCAACCGCTATCATACCTACAAAGGAAAAGGATCAGCAACTCAGAGAGATCGAAAGCACGGGCGTTTCATGGCGATAAAGGTATCTGTTATGTCACTTAGCTGTTGCGATTTTCTATTTTCTATTTTGTTGAATCATGGAAGGATTTAGGGATAAGGGTAAAGCCACTGCCGCTGTCGGTGGCTAGGGTTTTGTTTATCTGGGTAAGAGAAGAGATGAGATGCTGAGAGAGAGAGAGAAGAAATATAAAGAAAAATGAATTGTTTCTATTCTGAAAAAGAAAATATAATAAGTCTGTTGATCCCATACGCGCATGTCATTAATCCCTACCGTGTTCTTGTGATTTCAACCACACGATTCTCATCATGCGTCCCACAGGGCGCATGGCCATTGTATGACCGCGTGACCGTGCTTACGGAGTCCAAGCGGGCTCTTAAGATCTTTGGGCCTAGCCCATTCATAATCGCACCCTTCTCTTTTATTTATTTTTCTAAACACCCACGAAAATACATCCCTGTGTCAAAAGGGCCAAGTCCAATATTTGGACTTGGGCCCTCCTATTTTCCGCACCCCCTCTTTTGCTGACTAAATATAAAGCGCAGCCCTAAACTTTTGGGCCTGAATTCAAAATCTCAATTCAGACCCTTTCTATTAGCACCCTTACCTTTTACTAGTCCGGTATGTTTTACACCCCCTATGTTTTTTTTTTAAATTTTCACCACCTTTTAATATCTATTTATTTTTATTATTTTTTATAATTTTTTATACTATTTTGTTATATATATATATATATATATATATATATATATATATATATATATATATATATATATATATATATTATATTATCAATATTTTTAATATTATTATTATTCTTTATCACATAAATTGTATTATTTTCTAAATTCATTAAAACACTATTTTTGTTAATTGCGTTAAAGCTTATTTTATGCATGCATTTAAATAGAATTCTCTTTTAATTAATTAACCTATTAAAAATACTTAACATATTACAAACTCATTTTTAAAATTAAATCAATTCAATAATCAATTCTCAAAAAGGAATTGGGAGTTTATTCAAATCGACCGTATGTTTAGTCTAACAAACTCCGCTATTCACGATGCCTAGACTAAACATGCGAGGAATTCAAATATCTTCACAGTCTATAAAAAACACAAACCAACCGCGATCTACGAAATGAGACTCTGATTCCTCCTAAGAGGATACATAGGTGTAATACGGTGGGAGAACTGACTTGGATTTTGCGTTTTATCGCAAATGTTGCGGATAGCAAGAGTATCCATCGGTTTTTCTTTTATCCAATAAAGAAAAGAGTGAAAAGAACAAGAAAGACCTTTTGAGAATTTTCTTGAGTTTGAGGGGTAGGTTATGAAAAGGGAAGGTGTTAGCACCCTTTTCATCTGTAGTTATCTACGGGCTCTTAATCACTAGCTCACTTTGAAAATGCGTTGTGTTTGTGTATGTTTGAAAATATTTTGAAAATGCCTAAGCACAACAATTTTGTAATAATTCTTGTATCGTTGAGAATGGATACAAAATGTATTGTTTTGAAAATATTTTGAAAGGAAGTGTTGTTTTGTGGAAAGGTGTTTTGAAAATGCTAATGTAAGGTAATTTGCTTTATAATAACCCTTGTATTAGTCCTCAAGAGTGTTTATAAAGCGTTTTGAAAATAGTTGTTTTGAAAGTGTAAGGTGTGGAAATTGTCTTAGTTTGTGAGCAAGAGATTACGAGCGATCTACCTACTCAAAAAGGTCCTTGTTCTTTTCATTTAGATAGTTCTATCCTACCATTAGTTAGTAGGAAGCCCTATCATTGGATGTGAGGGACAGGCGCGGGTCATCGTACAGTCATAGAAGGTAACTTGTAGGACGCTTTAGCAATTGTCATAAAGGACTAAGATCATTTACCAAAGGCAACATTGAAGGGTCATCGAGGGACTTTAATCTTTTAATCGTGGGTCTTTGCTAAGGCATCCCACGTTTGAGGGACATGACTGTTTTATCCGAAGGCAACAAGTGAGGTTATCCTAGAGGTGTAAGTATGCAAAGTGTGTTTGATTCAATTATTTTATCTTGAATTAGGGTTTTTCTATGATTGATTTTAATCTTGTCATACAAACCTTAATTACTAACAGAAATATGGAAAGCAATAAATTACGTAAATTAAATATCCTACGCTATTACAATGCTTTGTGAATGGGGGATACAAATTTGTGAATGGGAAGGAAAGCAATAAACCCTAATTATCTATTACAGACCATTTTCATAAATAATAATGCGAGATAATGAAACGCGTAAAAATGTAAAGTAGAGAAGGGAGAAAGGAATTGTTTTTGGTGATTTTTTTATAGAAAATGGGTTTGATCATTAACCTAAGAAAACTAATTAGTTCTAAAAAATAAGTTAATTAGTTAATTAACCTAAAAATCTATGTTGGTTTAAAAAATAAAGAGAACTTAAATAAAACCTAAGTCTAATTTATTTCTAATTTTTAAAGAGAAAGTAATTGTTTTAGAAAATATCTTTTTTGGTGTTTTATTTAGAAAAAAATATTTTATAGTGCAAAATAAATAATAAAACTTAGTTCTAATTATTTTTATATTTTTTATGATTTAAATAAAATTAAACTAGAAATAAAAACAAATAAAAAAAAAAGAAAATTAAAAGGGTCAGTGGTGTAAAAGAAATCAGGGAGGTGAAAAGAAAAATATTAGGCCCAAAACAAATTTTTGTTTGAATCAGAAAAATAAAAATAAAATGAAAATGGGCCTGATTTAGCAAACATGGGGGAGAGGGGGGGTATGGAAAGAAATTAAATCAGGCCTAACACAAGAGCCTAAACCCCTACGTTGGATCCCATGTGGCTGGCTCCTAGAAGTGCATCACACACTTGCTTATCTGAGCGTTGGATTTAATCTTGTGATGATCAGATAGTGATGGAGAGAGGTACACCATGCACTTGTTGAACTTGCTTGTATTGAATCTGAAACAAGAAAATAAGAAACTAATAAAAGGGTACCGCAGGGGCTCGAACCCAGGTCCCTAAGGCAGGCAAAGACTTTGTACGCACGCGCTTGCCATTGGGGTGGCTGTTTCATCCAGTTATGAAATAGCCACCAATAAATATATTACAAACTCATTTCTAAATGTAACTTCATCTTCTTCCTCGCACTAGTAGCCATGAACACATTTTTGAATTTTGTAAAATGCTCATTTCTCAACCAAATCAGAAAATGTAAACATCAAACTTGTTTGAAATTTAACCACGAGTCCAACCATATAAATTTCAAAAGCTATAGATCAAAGATGAGTGAGAATTTTACTTGGTACCCAAATCTGAAGTGATAATCGAGTCTAGAGTTTGAGCATTCCTGGTGATGTTATGATAATCTAGATAGCTTCACTGAACTCCCAGGAAACTGTTGCAATGCTTACTTTGGATTGAGAGTGTCTAAATTCTTCTGGACAAGTCAAGTTGCAAGGCCCTGTTTTTGAAAATGGAGGATGATGGAGATGATGTTACAGTGATGAAACATTACTTTGGATAGGTTCTATATGAGTTATAGATGCTTTGTGA